CTCTGCCTCCCGAGTGCTGGGATTAAAGGCATGCGCCACCACCGCCCGGCTGCTACAGGAGTTCTTAGACTTAGATTTGTGTATCACCTGCACCAGAGTATGTAATATGCCTCTTAAAATCATTTGTTTACAAGTCCAACTCCAGACACAGCTGAGTCAGCACTTGGAGCAAGGAGGGAGACAGTAAAAATGCTCACAAGTGCCCCAGGGGGCACGTCATGCCCACTGGAGGGTCATGACCACTGCTAGAGACACAGGGTCTAGATCTAGAATACTGCTCCATCTTCCTGGTGGATGGGAAATCACTTTCCTTTTATTTAAAGCAGCTCTTGAAGTAACAGGAGGTCTTTCTCTACACACTCCCTCTTTAATACTCAGTTGTAATCATGCTACTGAAGTTTTCTTTATCAAAAAGTTTTAGATTCTAAACCAACTTGGTCACTCTTCTCTGGACCTTTCATTGCTTTTCAATGTCTCTCCCAAAACATGGCATTCAAGATGGCCATACATCACAATCTGAACTGGGTGGAGGGGTAGAAGGTACTGAATGCCTTTACCATATACCGCCAGTTATGTGCCGACTATTCATTTACATCCCTACCAAAGGATCATGTGACAAGCCATCTCAGCCTAAACCAGCCATCAGGAAGGCTCATCACTTGATAAGCCTCTGCTAATTAATAGGGCCCATGAGGCTGACTCGTTCCTAAGAGCTGTTTTCACTTGAGTGGCTTTGCTTAAATGTCCCACATATAGACTGGCAATGTATTTCCTTTTGTGTATTGCCCATTCCCGTTCTGTTTGACTTTAATTCACTTTGGCAGTCCTATGCCAAATGCATCCTGCCTGTGCACTACATCAAACTCTCACACAGCATTTCCCCACTTCACAGGGGAAGAGACTCTACTTAGCAGTGAGAACCTTGCCATGAGGAAACACAGGGGCATTTTCTACTTCCTTATTTATTTGTGACTTGGCTTAAACAATACCTTTTTGGAAGACAGCTCCTCATCTTGCAGATGTATTTTAAATGGGGTTGAAAGAGCTAAGTCCCTGGGGTAAAATCAAAGCTGAAGGTGAAAGGACACAGCGTTCTCACAGCTCTACCCTGGATCTCCTGCTAACATTCTCTTTATTCGATTTGGGTTTCTCCTGGCCTAGAGGCCAAACAAGGATGGATAGAAATGCTCACTGTGGACACAGAGTAGGAGGAGTGTGGAGCTGGGAGTGATGGCACACCTGTAACTGCAACACTAGGACAGTTGAGACAGGAGGATCTCGGCACCGCTACACAATCAGTTCAAGGTCAGCCTGCCCTACCTAGTGGCATGCCGGGGAAAGGAGGTGCCTGTATTAACTCATGTACAAAATTCATTTGTCAGGAGAAGTAACAAGCAGCTGTCCCAAAATGACTGCCCATAAAATGACCAAGGGGAGAAATTTAGAGAGGTAAAACTAGGTAATGAGCCAGTCTACCTGTTGACAGCAGCATCTGCGTAGCACACATGCAAGGCAAACAAAGCTAACCTTCATTTCTTCCATTTCATACTTACTATCTGATATCCCAAGACCAATGTTTATACAATTATCTAAGACCTTAATGTTAATTCATTATTTATAGCATTTTAGTCCAAACAGCTGAGCTTCTCACAGATTTGGTTAATTTAATCAAACTCCACGCAATTATACTTTAATTAAAACTACATATGCATAAAGTTGAAATGCTGATATTTAAATCAATTGAATTCACAACAAGATTAGAAGAAATGCAAACGATTAATTACAGATCCAAATTAGAAACAAAATTAAAGACAATTTTAATCCTTCTTTTTCTGTCTAGAAGGTAGCCATGACCCAAAGGTCATGAATCTTCAATGTCACATAGTGGGTGGAAACACAGAGACTCACTGACTTCAGATGCTCAGACTGTTCATCTAGGCCATTCTAGGACCTTTTGCTGTTCCCTATATCCATTAAACAAACTGGACTCTCACCCAAAACAACAACAGTTTTTCTAAACACTTATCTACCAATGAGGGGATCAAAACTGCTATGGTGATGGAAAGGTCTTGATGTTGAGACTTGGTCATTTTAGCACCCTGACCTCAGGTTAGGTTTAGACCTCAGGTTCTTTACTCCTTTATAAGCTCTGACAGAAGTTCAGTGTCTCCCTTGTTACAGAACACATTCACGAATTATTTGACTGTCCGACATTTTGCTCAAACCATTTTCATACATTATTAAAAATAATAAAAAAAAAAACCTGTAAAGCTCTCTAAGTTATGACATCATTTTCTTAAATTGGAAGGGAGCCTTCTCTTCTTTGTTCTTTACTATTCTAAGTTTTCTGCCACTCTATTTTTAGGCTGATTTTTTTAATGTAGGCAAAAATTAAGCCTGCTTTGTCAGCATTAAACTTTCAGTCTTTCCATGGCTTATTGTATGGTCACTGATCCTTCTTCATGGTTTAGTTTCTTTTTTCAGCATTGGGAATCAAACCTAGGACCTTATGCATGCTCAGCAAGTATTCTACTACTGAGCTACATCTTCCACCCATAATTTTTGGGGATAGCGTCTTATTAAATTCAGTGTTTAGTTGTAAGTATTACCTTGGCACAATCTAGAACTGAGAAGAGAGTACATCAATAAGGGATTGCCTACATCAGGCTAGCTGGTGAGCTTGTCTATGGGGGTTGTCTTAATTACCTTGATTGAGGCAGAAAGACCTACCCCACTGTGGGTGACACCATCCCCTAAGCAGGCGATCCCAGACAGTATAAATGTAGAAAGGAGGCTAAGCACAAGTAAGTATGCATGTGTTCACTCTCTCTCTACTCTCGATTGTGGATGTGACTAGACATTTCAAGTTCCTGCCTTGACTCCCCTGCAATGGTAGACTGTGACCTGGAATTATAAACTTAATAAACCTCTCCCCCTAAAGCATGCTCTGTCACAGTAACAGAAAAACGAGACTATTTAACTATGTAACCCAGACTGTTCTCAAATGTGTCAACCTACACCTTCCACATTTGTGTTGTGATTTTAGGTATGTGCTCCCATGCCTAGCTCCTGAAGAGAAGTTTAAACCCTTGAATAGATTGTTCTAAATAAGGGCACACAGTGATTTTTAATAAGCAAAAGCCACTCCGACTCACCCAGCTGTTGATTTATCAAATCCTTCCTGGAACTGTGTTCTCAAGATCTCAGTGTGGAAATAGGCTAACCTCATCCACATCCCACAGAGCTGTTTCCACCCTCACCACCAGCATCCCACCCCATAGCGACTGCCCTGCAGGTAGATTACCCCCTTCCTCTCAACAAAGCCTCCTGCCCCTCCACAGCCTACCGTAAGTGACATTCCCTCATCTACATTCACCCTCTCTCTGACTCTCAATGAAAATAACACCCCCATAGTCACTATAATGGTCAGCATCACATGACATTAATGTGTAGCCTCCCCAGTGAAACCTTAAAGTCATCAAAACTGACAACCTGGAGCCATGTGAACTTGGTACACAATCTGTAAACCTTAAAAGCAAGTGGGAAGCTCTATGTCATGAGGATAGAGCCATTCCAAGCCCATCCTGGGCTTGGGCACAACTTTCCTCTCATCCCCACCATCCACAGACATATAGGCTGTTTCCTGGAAAGACTAAATGGGCATTGTGGGACATACTCACTGCAAATCGGACTTGGCAGTTCTCCTCCCCCAGGTAGCAGAGGTCGCCCGAGACGTTGGTCTCCAGCCATAGGTGTTCCCCATTCACGGCATTCTCCTGTAAGGAAAAGACCCACCCACTTCAGTTTTCTCTTCAGCATCAAGGGAGGAATTATGCAAGACAATTAGTGATTCCCAGGAGTTTAAACACTCTTCATAGGATCTTCAAAGACACTGCTGGAGTTGATCCTATGGAAATTCTGGAAAGGGAAAATGGTGTGGAAACTTTGATCGATAACCAAGATAGATATAAAGTCTATGAAGGCCTTATCCATGGGTGTGTCACCTTGAAACATTCTCAACCAATGAGGAAAAGACAACACTGAGTGGTTCCACATGACGTCTTGTGTATCCGGACCCCAGATGTGATGACCCAGGAAACCAAACTTAGATAAAAATTTGCCTCTACTTAGTGAATTAGCTGAGAAGAAGGGTGAGAGTATTAAAATACTTTAGGTAAGAATGGCTGACAATGCATCTACACTCGGCTTGCTTCTCTGGGACTCAAAGCACAAATGCATTTCTACTAATCTAAACACGTTGCTAATTTGGCAAGGCTTCCCACTCAATTCTAAATTTTACAAACTAAATAATTTGTCTGCTTCCTAAGAATACACACTATATTTTGGTGGCAAGCAGAGCTGCTGTGATGAATGCTACAATGAGTAACAACCCTGTTCTATCCATAAACGTGCAGTATACAATGGAGAGGAGGACAGCCATCTGGCCTTTAAATATGGCAAATAGAATTCTATGATCTTTCTTCTGATACACCACTTTAAAGGTGTACGAATTTATGTACTGATTGTATATTCTGCTTATTTGCTTAAAGGATGAAATACTGGAGAAAACACTGTGTTACATTAACTATAAAGGAACATAAGACTAAGCCTGCAGTTTATAGGAAAAGTCCTGTTGTTTTTATCTTATTCCATGTCAGAAAGACAAGGACTAGCAGCTATCCTTTGATGGAGGATGCTGTGGGCTGAACTATGCCCCTGTCCTCAATTCATATATTAAAATCTAAATCACAGTGTGATGGCATTAGAACATGCCTTTAGAAAGTAATCGGGTCATGAAAGTAGAGCCTTCACCATGGAATCGATGCCCCTATAGGAAGTAACTCAATAAAGCTCTCCCTTTCTATACATGCATGCAACAAGGAAAAGCCACCTGAGTTCACAGCAAGAGAACAACTACCTGCCAGACAAGAAGAGAGCTCTCACCAGGAACTCCAGGTGCCATCACCTTGCCCTTGTACCTGCTTGGCTTGGAAATGATGGGAAATCAATGTCTGTGGCTTAAGCCACCCAGGCTGTGACATTTTGTGGCAACATCCTGATCAGACAACAGAGGACAGCTTCAATAAAGAGCTTTTCAGGCTAACCAAGTCATTTAAAGTCCATCATACATTTGAGCCATGCTTAGGATAACTCGTCCCAGAAGCATCCACACAACAGCCTTCTCAATGCCAAGGCTTAGTAGAGAGAATCAGAAATATAGACCAAATGTTTCTAGCTGGAAGCAGGGAAGAGAGCACCAATTGTCATGCTATTTTTTTTAAAAAACACTGGATACATTTCTTCAGATTCAAATAGAATACATTTTCCTTTCAGGGTGAATAGTCTCAAATGATTTCAAGCAAGAAAATCCATTGACCTTGGATCCAGATCAGCAGTTGTCAACCTTTCTAATGCTACGACCCTTTAAAATAGTTCCTCATGTTGCAATGATCCCCAACCATAAAATTATTTTCATTGCTACTTCACAACTGTAATTTTGCTACTGTTAAGAGTAAAAAGTAATTATCTGTGTTTTCCAATGGTCTTAGGTGACCCCTGTGAAAAGGTCATTTGATCCCCAAAGGGGTTGCAACCCACAGATTGAGAAACACTGCTCTAGATGCTTCAAGATCCAAGGAAAGTGAGGAAGTCTCAAAACAGCAGGAGTAAGATGTGAACACAGGGGAAAAGTGATCAGGTATACAGATGACAAAGGCCTCCAGTGCCTTTTTTTTTTTCCTTCTCCCCAGTAATATTCTCCTTTGGTGAACAATGTTCAATTTGTACATAAATAGTCATGGGAAAACCGACCTCTCCTCACCTTCTGGGACACTATCAGAAGGAAGGAAGACTAGACATAGGGCTGGAACCTAAAAATCTTACAAACTGATGACATCATTAGAGAATAAAATACAAAGGCTTTCTTTACAAGGTAGCCTGAAGAAATTGTGCTCACCATCTAAACCACTACAGAGGGGTTACCTACCATCCAACTTGAACTTCTAACCAATTATACAAAAGCCATCCCTTTTCACTTTATCATTGGACTCACTCAGCAAACATTTGTTCTTCAGTGCTGGCACAAGTCCTAGGGATGCTGTGATATCTCACAGTGGTAAACTGACTAGCAAAGTCGGAAACTAAACATGACAGAAAAACAAGAAATCCTAAGGGGAGGACTTCAGAGGAAATCTTGCCAATATTTTAAGGGGTCCGATAGAAAACTGTTACAGTGGAGCAAATGTCAAGAACCTTTGACAGTCACAAGCTAGGTGTGCCAACAGTGAAGTCCTGAGAGGGCAGGCAAGGCAGGCAGGGGCGGGCTAAGAACCTGGGAGTCAGACTGTTGCAAGCACCACATACCTGACTTATGGGCCAATAGCTCCTAGGCCTCAGACTCCTTTGTTAAATGGTAGACCATTTGCAAGCTTTCAGAGGCCTGCACATCAACCTTGCCTCGGAGTCATCCACAGAAGACCACTACTTTTAGTTAGCCTCAGTTTTTGATGGGAAGTTGATTTAAAAGAGATGGACCTTTGGAAGGCAAAAGCAGGTGGCTTTACTACATCCTGTCACTATCTAATGGGTTGGTTCTCAGTTTGAGCTATGTACTCAATAACCTGGTAAATTTTTAAAATATGTGAGTATGATTCCAGAGAGTCTGTGTCAGTGAATCTCAATGAAACTTGTGTATAGTAATTGTTCAAGGTTCCAAGGTGGTTCCAATGTGCTTTGGAGTCTATGACCCCAATAGACCACACCCTCCTCTTCAAGTGTTTTAGATAATAGATTTTAGAACATGTCTATGAGCCAAAGTACTATATTGCATTCTTCTCTGTTTTGTACAATCACTAACAAAGATAAGTGTAAGAAAGACATGTCATGAAGCATCTCCATCAATTTTAAGAAAAGACACAAAGCTATAAGCATATACCCATAGACCTGGAGTTCACCATGAAAAGCCAGGAAGTGATAGGGAAGGAAAGCAACATGTACAGACATCTAAAGAAAACACAGAGTAAAGCATTCATTCCCTAAATTACTATGCTTACTTTGAGAAGTAGTTCCTGAAGAAATAGTTCTAATGGAAGGAAAAGGTAAGTATACACCTGACTAGGTTAATCTAAAATTCCTTAATGGGAGAAAAATGGTCACAAGAAGTACAACACTACAAAATGTTGTAAAATCAAGGAGTACAAATGTAGAGTCTGGTCATATAGAGAACTTCATAACATAGAGTCACAGAAATAAAAAATATATTCAGAACTGACTTGCATCATGGTCATAGATACACAGAAAAATCAGAGCTGAAAATAACATGAAGTACATCGATAGTTGAATTCTTGACACACATCTGTTTCCATTCTTCTCCCCCAGGGAAAGCTCAACAGAGAATTCTTATATTTTGTCACTTCCTTTGCACACCATTATAATTTCTTCAGCCCATTCCAGGTGTTCTTCTTTCACATGACAATACTATTTTCCATATCACCAGTGATGTCACATGGCTGAAGCCAATGGCCAATGATCAAGCTCCACACTCATCAGCAGCTTCAACACTGATGATCACTGTCTTCATCCAGAGTTACTTTCTTCTCCTCCGCTGTTTACTTTTCCTAGCCTCTGCTGTTGGATCTTCCTTATGCTCATATTTTTAACACTAAAATGTTCTGCAGCTTAACACTCCAATCTTTACATTTTCCGTCTACATTCAGTCCTTAGATTACTGCGCTGAGTTTTCTTGGCTTTAGCACTCATTGAGTAGTTGTTTCCTTCCAAATTATTTATTCAGGATGACCCTCTTCTTTGAGCTTTACTCATAAACAATTGCCAACAGCATCTCTCCAGAAGACCTAATAAGCATCTTAAATCCTTACATTTGCAAGAACCGAATTTCCTCCACTGATAGGTTCTTCCTTGTCTTCTCTCTGGATTTTCAGTAAATGGCATTACCGTTCTCCATACTTAGGCTAAAACTCTGGAGTCCTTCTAAAGCTCTCTCCTATTTACAACTAATCTCATTTCATCATGATTTTAAAATGCATCTGAGGTCCAGCTACCACTCACCACTTCTACTGTTACCACCAGCTCTGGCTCAGAATATCTCAACAGCCAACCACAAGTGATATCCCTACTTTTGTCTCCACCCTTCATGGTCTACTTTTCAAACTGCAACATCAGCAGTAGTTGAGGTGAAAGCCTGAGACTTTCTCCTGCCCTATTGTTACCTGTGGCAACCTAGGGAACCCTCTTTGGAGACCTTTACTGAGGTGAAGCGGAGGTTTGCTGCAGTAAAGAATTTTAGGGTACACCAATATGAAGCAGAGCTGGAGTGCGGTAAGAGACTTTTGACAGATTTCAGCACCGAGGTTTACAGCATAACACTCAGGGGCAAGATAAAACACACCCAAGTGCAGACAGGCTTCTCGGGAGATGCTGGAGTATCAGTATCTGAGCAACAGGCATAAATATGATTTGACTGGTTTAATTTGGTTTTGGTTTTTTGAGACAGGATCTCATGTAGCCCAGGTTGTCCTTAAATTTGCTACACAGCCCAAGATGAGCTTCAACCCTTTATCCACCTGCTTCAATCTCCCCGGTGCTGGGATTACAGGCATGAGCCACCAGGCCTTGTGTAGACACATGGTTTTGGTGGCTCTCAACTTAATCTCAAATAGTTTCTAAGGAACTTGATTCTTCCCTTTTCCCCCTTTGCAATAAATGACATGACAGGGTGAGTCCAGAGGTGCCTTGGATAGGACTGCAATTTAATCAG